GAAGCATGATGTTGCCACAAAAGCATGAAAGTGTAAAAAACAAATAAAAGCTAAAGCATATAACTAAACTTAAAAGAAGTTAGGAAGATGAATTTAGGGTAAAGCACAGTAAATTGAATTGTAGGAAACTAAATACATCAATGGAAATGTTCGAAACAAAATAACATAAATAAAAGTTGATACTAATGGCAGTGTAGAGCTAGAGACTAAGCTAGAAAAGCTGTTTGAGAAAGCTGTTTGAGAAAGCTAGATCTAAACTAAGATATTACTTGTGAAACTGAAATGTAGATAGCGTTGAGTTAGTTGTGTGAGACGCCAGTCTTTTTTGCTTCATTTCTTTCTCTGCATACTTATAACAATAAACACCCCTTGACAAGATGCTCAGAGATCTACAGCAATAATCTTGAAAAACCAACAATAGTGTGATATCTGAAACAAATCGATTAATCTATTGATGCTGTCGATTATCTTCTTGAAAGTTTGGAACAAGCGAATGACTTTGCTGCAGTTGTGAAAATAACCATTAAATCTTATCTGGAGAGATTTACACTGATAAAATACATGCCAACATGGATGACACATGGCACCATTCTATTTTTTGCAAAAATGAGTGTAAACACTTTGTTCAAAAATTCACCAAATCACAATCTAATAACATTTCAATTGCTTTTGGGCTTGTTGATGAGTGTGACTTTGTGTGTTTTAGATTGAAATTTTGGTGATTTTGATGTGATTGGGAGGTTAAATGGGCAGTGCCTTCACCAATGCAAGATGGTTTCCTGAGAGGGGATTAAGATTTTGCTCACGAGAAGATGACATGAAAAACAAAAGCAAAATATAAGAGACGGCATAATGGTAAATTAATTAAAAAAGCTATGGCAATAACACCACTCTAGTGTTTATCAATTAAATTTATAAAAAATTAGATAAAAAAATTTCAAAATTATTTTTTTAATGAGGTGTCATAAAAAATAAAATAATATTATTCTTTCTTTAAAAAGTAGATTATTTTAGTATTTTTAATAAAAATTTATTAAAACGC